TCTTTGTTTCAAGTTTGTTTTGGTAACAAAGTCTTGAAGTTACCTGGTCATCAGTGTGATTTTGTGCTTTTTCACATTAATCCCGACATTTCAATCAATTTAATCTGCTCCCCAAGCAAGCATAGCAGTAGGAATCTGTGTTTCTTTTATTATCTGCATTTCTGAATCCCTGGCATAGAAAAATAATATACACTAAGCAACAAAGTAAAGGTACAGTTGTCTTCTCAGATTCTTCTGTGATTTCAGCTGTTAATCAGGCTAGAAAGTTTCAGCGTTTCTTTTCATGTTCAGCTTGAGACTTCACAGGAACTTTACTTATCAGAGGGTTTATGTCACTGTGTGTATCTTTTACACAATCTCTGGTGTTTAGATTTGACTTTGACTTTGGTTATTAACAGCAGATACAGACTGTGTCAGTAAACGTGCACATCACAGCACATCATGTAAGTTTTCTGTGTGCAGGTGTGTTTGTGTTTCTTACTTGGCCACCTGACCTCCGATCATCACATCTCCCTCCTTCATGTGGGTTTTGCTGAAGGGCCTGTTGGGACCAGTGGTGTGTTACAATATGTATTTATATCAGGAGCATTGAAATAGTTCAGTAATGAGTGATGCTGCTCTCTGATCACCTCATGTACGGGTCGACACTGAGAAACACAGCTTCCAACAGCACCTCTGCAGACAAAACTAAACTCATTTAAAGTGCTCGATGCTTAATGTTTGACAAAAACTGAAGAAAGTGCTCTCCTGTAGAAAGAAAGAAGAAAGATGTACCTCCATCTTTGGGCTCAGGGAGCTCCTCCACCTTCAGCCCAAAGTCGCTTTTCTTTGGGAAGCCGTCAAAGTGCTTAGTCATTACCCATGACTTAGCTTTGACCATGATTCTTCTTTTTTATGGCAGCTGTAAAGAAATATTGCCCGTCACTGTTATCAACAGACATGAAAGTTCTGAGTCATTCAGCGCTGTGCAAAGTAGAGCTGAATAAAACCTGAAGTGTGACGTTCACTCTGTGACGTTTAGCTGTGGTGAGCATCAAACAACACAAATCATTTTCTAGTTTAGAGTTGATGAGTGACCTAGCTGTGGTTATAAGAACAATTCAAATGAAATGCAGACATCTTTATCACACAAACATTCACACACAAGTTCTTTGAGTGCTGGGAGTAGAAAGAGGGT